TTGTCCTTCCTCCATCCTTCCTCTCTCCTCCCTCTTCCTCCCTCCTCCCCCTCTTCCCCCCTCTTCCTCCCTCTTCCTCCTCCCCCTCCTTCCTCTTCCTCCTCCCCCCTCCTTCCTCTTCCTCCTCCCCCCTCCTTCCTCTTCCCTCCTCCCCCCTCCTTCCTCTTCCTCCCTCCCCTCCTTCCTCTTCCCTCCTCCCCCCTCCTTCCTCTTCCTCTCCCCCTCCTTCCTCTTCCTCCTCCCTCCTCTCCCTCTTCCTCCCTCCTGTTCCTCCCCCCTCCTCCTCCTCTCTCCCTCCTCCTCCCTCTCCTCCTCCTCCTTCTCCTCCCTTCTCCTCGTCCCTTCTCCTCCTCCTCGTCCCTTCTCCTCCTTGTCCCTTCTCCTCCTCGTCCCCCCTCCTCCTCCCTCCTCCTCCTCCCTCCTCCTCCTCCTCCCTCCTCCTCCTCCTCCTCCCTCCTCCTCCTCCTCCTCCCTCCTCCTCTTCCTCCCTCCTCCTCCTCCTCCTCCTCCTCCCTCCTCCTCCCTCCTCCTCCTCCTCCTCCCTCCTCCTCCTCCCTCCTCCTCCCTCCTCCTCCCTCCTCCTCCTCCTCCTCCTCCCTCCTCCTCCTCCCTCCTCCTCCTCCCTCCTCCTCCCTCCTCCTCCTCCCTCCTCCTCCTCCCTCCTCCTCCTCCTTCTCCTTCTCCTCCCTCCTCCTCCTCCCTCCTCCTCCTCCCTTCTCCTCCTCCCTTCCTCCTCCCTTCTCCTCCCTCTCCTCCTCCTCCTCCCTCCTCCTCCCTCCCTCCTCCTCCTCCTCCTCCCTCCTCCCTCCTCCTCCCCCTCCTCCCTCCTCCTCCTCCCTTCCTCCCTCCTCCTCATCCCTCCTCCTCCTCCCTCCTCCTCCTCCTCCTCCATCCTCCTCCTCCCCCTTCTCCTCCCCCCTCCTCCCCCTCCCCCCTCCTCCCCCTCCTCCAACTCTCTCCTCCTCCTCCCCCCTCCTCCCCCTCCTCCAACTCCTCCTCCTCCTCCTACCTCCTCCTCCTCCCTCCTCCTTCTACCTCCTCCTCCTCCTACCTCCTCTTCCCTCCCCACCTTCCTCCTCCTCCTCCTCACTTTCCTCCTTTTCCTCCTTCCCTCCTCCCCCTCCTGCTCCTTCTCTCCTCCTCCCTCCCTCCCTCCCTTCCTCCTCCTCCCTCCCTCCCTTCCTCCTCCTCCTCCTCCTTCCTCTCCTCCTCTCTCCTCCCTCCTCCTCTCCTCCCTCCTCCTCCTCCTCCTCCTCCTCCTCCTCCTCCTCCTCCCTCCTCCTCCCTCCCTCCTCCTCCTCCTCATCTTCTTCTTCTTCTTCTTACCCCTCTGTTTTCTTCTTCCTCCTCCCTTTGAATCTTTCCTTCTCTTCCTCCTTCCTCTCCCCCTTTCTCGTCCTCCTCCTCCTTTTTCCCCTTGTTTGCTTTTCTCTCTGCTTCCTCTTCTCCCTCCTTTTTCTCTCTGCTTCTCCTTCTTCCTCGTCTCCTTCCTTCCTCTTCCTCCGACCTCTTCTTCTCCCTCCTCCCTTCTCTTCCTCCGACCTCTTCTTCTCCCTCCTCCCTTCCCTTCCTTTCTATCTTCTTACCACCGCTCCAGCTACATTGCAGGAGTTTTAACTAGATCTCTAACCAAGTTGTGTGGCTGTGATGTACCCAACTCTTGCCCCAGCTTTTTTCCAGGTTTTCCACTGACAGGGTAGCATTTGTTTACATGTTTCACATTTTTTTTAATTAACACAGTGGCTGTTACCCACAGAGGCAGGGTGATCAAAAAAAGAAAAGAAACACTTCATCATCACTCGCTCCATCACTGCCTTGCCAGAGGTGTGCCTACATTAAAGTTAAAAAACTGCAGTGTGTCAACACCCATTCTTCATAGTGCAGGCACTGTACTTCCCACCTCCAGGACTCAAGCCCAGCTAACCAATTTCCCTGAATACCTTCATTAATGTTACTTTGCTCACACTCCAACAACATGTCAAGTCATAAAAACCATTTGTCTCCACTTGCTTCCATCTAACATGCTCATGCTTGCTGAAAGTCCAAGCCCCTCACACACAAAATCTCCTTTACCCCCTTCCCCCCAACTTTTCCTAGGACAACCCTTACCTTTGCCTTCCACTACAGATTAATACACCCTCCAAGTCATTCTATTTTGTTCCATCCTTTCTGAATATCCAAACCACCTCAACAACCCCTCCTCAGCCCTATGAGAAATCTCATGCCTCCTCCTGATCCCCAAACTACGGATTCTCTGCGTAATATTCACGCCACACACTGCCCTCAGACATGACAACTCCACTGCCTCCCACCTTTGTTGCAACATTCACTACCCATGCTTCACATCCATACAAGAGTGTTAATACCACTACACTCTCATCCATTTCCCTCTTTGCTTCCATAGATAATGTTCTTTGTCTCCACAGACTCCTCAGTGCACCACTCACCTTTTTACTCTCATCAGATCTGTGCTTCAATTTGTCTTTCAAAGACCCATCTACTGGCAAGTCCACTCCCAGATATCTGAATACATTCACTTCCTCCATACTCCCTCCCTTAAGTCCGATATCCAATCTTTCATTACATAAATATTTTGCTATCCTTGTTATTTTGCAATTTCCTATGTTGACTTATAATTTCCTTCTTTTGCATACCATCACAAACTCATCTACCAACCTCTGCAACTTCTCTTCAGAATCTTCCAAAAGCACATTTACAGTTGTGGGAAAATAATATTTTTATTTAAAGAAAATATGGCAGTATTCAGTAATGCTACCATGCCTCATACTTGACATTAGGATATGAGGCAGAATACAACTTATACAGTTCCTTGTAGTATTGTTGCTTTCACATTTATTTTAGAAAATAACTTTTTATGCTTTCTTACACAGTAGCCTTAGAGTTAGATAAGTGTCTTCCCTACAAAGTAGCCAAAGAGGTAAGATGCCTTCTCCCACACAGTAGCCTCAGAGGTAGGGTGCCTTCCCTACACAGTAACTCCAGAGGTAAGGTGCCTTCTCCACACAGTAGCCCCAGAGGTGAGGTGCCTTCCCTACATAGTAGCCTCAGAGGTGAGGTACCTTTCCCACACAGTAACCCCAGAGGTAATGTGCTTTCCTTACACAGTAGCCCCAGAGGTAGGGTGCCTTACCCACAGTAGCCCCAGAGGTAAGGTGCCTTCCCTATACAGTAACCCCAGAGGTGAGGTGACTTCCCTACATGGTAGCCTCAGAGGTGAGGTGCCTTCCCCACACAGTAGCCCCAGAGATAAGGTGCCTTCCCTACACAGTAGCCCCAGAGGTAAGGTGCCTTCCCTACACAGTAGCCCCAGAGGTAAGGTGCTTTCCCTACACAGTAGCCCCAGAGGTAGGGTGCCTTACCCACAGTACCCCCAGAGGTAAGGTGCCTTCCCCACACAGTAGCTTCAGGGGTAAGGTGCCTTCCCCACACAGCTCCAGAGGTAAGGTGCCTTCCCCACACAGTAGCCCCAGAGGTAAGGTGCCTTCCCTATACAGTAGCCCCAGAGGTGAGGTGCCTTCCCTACATGGTAGCCTCAGAGGTGAGGTGCCTTCCCCACACAGTAGCCCTAGATATAAGGTGCCTTCCCTACACAGTAGCCCCAGAGGTAAGGTGCCTTCCCTACACAGTAGCCCCAGAGGTAAGGTGCTTTCCCTACACAGTAGCCCCAGAGGTAGGGTGCCTTACCCACAGTAGCCCCAGAGGTAAGGTGCCTTCCCCACACAGTAGCTTCAGGGGTAAGGTGCCTTCCCCACACAGCTCCAGAGGTAAGGTACCTTCCCCACACAGCAGCTTCAGGGGTAAGGTGCCTTCCCCACACAGCTCCAGAGGTAAGGTACCTTCCCCACACAGTAGCTCCAGAGGTAAGGTGTCTTCCCCACGCAGTAGCCCCAGAGGTAAGATACCTTCCCCACACAGCCTCAGAGGTAGGGTGCCTTTCCCCACACAGTAGCCCCAGAGATAAGATACCTTTCCCTGCACAGTAGCCTCAGAAGTAAGGCACCTTTCCTATGCAGTAGCCCCAGATGTGAGGTGCCTTCCCCACATAGTAACCCTAGAGGTTAAGTTGTCTTCTCCACACAGTAGCCTGAGAAGTAACCTTTCCTATGCAGTAGTCCCAGAGGTGAGGTGCCTTTCCCCACACAGTAGCCACAGAGGTATGGTGCCTGCCCCCACACAGTAGCCCCAGAGGTAAGGTGCCTTCCCCACATAGTAATGCCAGAGGCTAAGTTGCCTTCCCCACACACTAACCTCAGAGGTTAAGTTGCCTTCCTCACACAGTAGCCCCAGAGGTGAGGTGCCTTCTTCACATAGTAACCCCAGAGGTTAGGTTGCTTTCCCCACACAATAACCCAAGAGGTTAGGTTGCCTTCCCCACACAGTAGCCCCAGGGGTAAGGTGCCTTTCCACACAGTAGCCTCAGAGGTAAGATGCCTTCCCCACACAGCTCCAGAGGTAAGGTGCCCTCCCCACACAGCCTCAGAGGTAAGGTGCCCTCCCCACACAGCCTCAGAGGTAAGGTGCCTTCCCCACATAGCTCCAGAAGTAAGGTGCCTTCCCCACATGGTAGCCCCCAGAGGTAAGGTGCCTTTCCCACACAGTAGCTCCAGAGGTAAGGTGCCTTCCCCACACAGGTGCCTTTTCCATGCAGTAGCCCCATAGGTGAGGTGCCATCCCCACACTGTAACCCAAGAGGTTAAGTTGCTATCCTCACACAGTAGCCCCAGAGGTATGGTGCCTTTCCCACACAGTAGCCCCGAAGGTAAAGTGCCTTCCCCACACAGTAGCCCCAGAGGTATGGTGCCTTCCCCACACAGTAGCTTCAGAGGTAGATAAATGCTTCTCATGCAGTAGCCTCAGAGGTAAGTAGATAGGTACCTTCCCACATTGTAACCTTATAGGTAGGTAGGTGTGACTGCAAATATGTTTTGTACTACTATTCTTTTCTTACAAGTCTCAAAATGATAATATTTTTCCACCAGTTGACAGAATACTACGAAGTCATCAAAAACCCCATGGCTCTTGAAATTGTAAAGCGAAAACTTGTACCAGACAGCCCTCATCATTATGAGGGTCTTGAAGACTTTGTACGTGACATCCGATTAATCTTCAGAAATTGTTATGAGTTCAACCCAGTAAGTAGCCTTAAAGATTTATGAAAAAATAAATTTAATAATTTTTTTAATGTTCTTCAGAAGGTTTATAAATTTAAAGCCTACTGTGACATTTGCATGTTGTATTGGTATTTTCATGTTGAATTCATAATCACACAAAAACAAATTTGCTCTATCTCTCAGATAATAAAATATAACCAGGAATGATTGATCATGGCTTACTGTGTCCCAATAATTGAGTCAAACCTATTAAAAGCCCATAAAACAGACTAGGAGGTGTAAGGAGGCCTTACCAGTCCTCAGGAAAATAGGCAAAAATTTAATATTTCCATTACTTTGAGATCAATATCAGGCTGCTACTTCTCCTGAAACCAACTAAAATAATCTCTTTTTCAGTAGTATATCTTCTGATCCGTCAAGACACCAAATAACAGCCAATAAAACTCTAAAAGCCATCCAAGAAAATGCCTGAAAGTTGCTACTTTAAACCATACACACTTTAAACCATCATGCACCGTGTGGGGCAGGATTCTTTTTATGCTGTGCACACTCATGGCACAGACCCATTCTCTCAAATCTAGGTAAAATTTACCACTCATAGCATATCTGAATGAACTGAGCTCATGACGTAGAACTACGTGAGGGACCCCTGACCACAATGACATAGTTCAAAGTGGCAGTCATCGAAAGAGTTAAAAAATAGTATCCTTACTGTGAAAGACTGATTCACCTACTCTTTCCCAATCATATATTATAAGATCACCTTGTTTCTTTATTAATTTAAAATGCATATTTTTTTCTTTTAACCCTTTCAGGGACCGTCCCGTAGATCTATGGCTTTATGTTCAGGGTCCAAACTGTAGATCTACGCCATGAGCTCAGCTCACTCTGATAAGCTGTGAGTGGTAAATTTGGGCCTAGATATGAGAGAATACATCTATGTGGTATGTGTGCACCACATAAAACAAATCCTGCAGCACACAGTGTATAATGAGATAAAAAAAAACTGAAACCGTGATTTTCGATTAAAACAGCGACTTTGCAGTGTTTTTTCGTATGTTTTTTATAGTTGTATTTGCGATTTCTTTGTCTCATTTGATAGAATGGAAGACATATTACAGAAATGGAGATGATTTTGATTGGTTTTAGTACTGGAAATGGCTTGAAACTGAGCTCAAAGTAGCGGAAATGTTAAATTTTTGTCGATGTTCAAGAGTAAGCAAACGACCTCACATGTCTAATACACGCCAGCTGGTGGGTCTAATATACATTCACAAATGTGAGGATGATATTTATACAATTATTACAATATTGCATAACAGTAAATCTTTTATTTTTTTGTTTGAATAAAAATTCATTATGTGAAACAAAAATCAAAATGGAATTCATTTGTAAAGCCTGAAAACATAACTAAAGAGCAGAAGAAATGTTAGTTTAGTGCCAGGAATGCCTGCATTGTTTATTTTGGACCCTATTTTGAAATTGGAATACAGTGGACCCCCGCTTTATGATCACCTCCCAATGCGACCAATTATTTAAGTGTATTTATGTAAGTGCATTTGTACGTGTATGTTTGGGGGTCTGAAATGGACTAATCTAATTCACAATATTCCTTATGGGAACAAATTCGGTCATTACTGGTACCTGAACATACTTCTGGAATGAAAAAATATCGTAAACCGGGGGTCCACTGTATTTTGAACTTTGTGTTAAATTGGCCAAATTACCAATTTCCGATCACTTTATTTTGTAGTTGAAACAGTTGACTGAGCGATTTCTTGTGCTCAGTCGATAGAATAGAAGTAATACTAGTGAAATAGCTAAGAATTTGGTCGACTGGAATAATGTAATTGGCCTAAAATGGGAGTCAAAGTCAGTAAAATTGCCGATGCTTGAATATTGCTGACACATTAAAATTCGCGAGCAGAATTTCGTCAATTTTCCATCAAATTTCGTACTTTTTGTTTTATTACCTTCAGAAAAAGATTCTCTACCATTTCATAAGAAGAAATAACAAATTTTTTTTTTGAAAATTCTTGGACACTGGTGCACCCTTTGAAATTTGGCCTCTGGACCCTGAAAAGGTTAATTCACTCCTTTGTCACTTTTCCCTCAGACACTAAACAAACTGGAATACCATATAAATATGCCTTGATTTTATTCATACATTCTAACCTGTCATGAATATTATCTATTTTTATGTAACTTATTTAATCTCCCTACAACGTTTACAGAAAGACACAGAAATATACCAGAATGCTAAGATCTTGGAGGACTTCTTCGAACAGTTGCTAGAAAAGTGGTTGACAGACTATGCTTTTGATGCCATGGACACGCTGGATGAACCAGATACCCCAGAGCCAAAGAAGAAAAAAAAAATGAAGGAAGGTGATCCATTACTTCATATTCACTGAAATCATGTTACTGGATGATGTTTCACAAGCACATTATTTGGTCAAGATTTTTGCAAGTGTACTAAAGTGTATTTGCTATGTATGCTCTCAGCATGCTTGTCTTGGGACACTATTTGGTGTTTTAATAAATGCCTACATACCTCTTTCACTGTAAAGAGTGTCTTGAAAGAGTAAGACAGAAGGCAAGCACAAGGTCAGATGAGCTGTGTAGGATGTATTTTTTTATTACATGTATTTGATGTCAGAAGGACTGCATCACTCTTCAGTTTTGGAGAATCTTCTATTCCCAAAATTTGGTTACTATTCTGTTAAATTATTTCTTCACACAGAGCCAGAAGTTTATTCATGACCAAAGATGATCAGTAAAAGTGAGTATTTTTTAAAATTTTCTGTTTGAACGAAACAGAACTTGTAAATTTTGAACAGCAACTTGCTCAACAGCACCAAATGTCTTAGGAAAAGTTGTGTGTGTACTATCCTTTTGTAAGCATTGGAAGTAGCTTATACACAAAATATATATCTGTTAAAAGGAAACTTGCAGACATAAGCTAATAAAATTATTAAATTATATTATTTAAGAAAAGTAGGCTTTAATTATTTTTTTAATTAATGAGTGATTTATCTTATCTAGTATTTCCTGTATTAAAAATTTAGACTTTTTCTATTGCAAGAAAATGAGCTTGGTATTGTAGAGCGGTTTCCCCTTGAAGATATTAATTTGGCAGCCAGAGCTATAATATTTCATCTCAAAATGTAGTATATACATTTTTGTTGAATTTTTTTCATGCATTTCTTTTGCATTTTGGAAGATGAAACTCATGAGATTCATTTCACAGTTTGGATAGTACCAGGTATGTGCATTGATATAGATGGCTATTTTGATGTGGATTATTTTACTCTACCCCCCAGTATGACTAAATTTAATAAAAAAAATATTTACATAATATTTTATATTTTAATCATAAATCTGTTTTTATATATTAATCATAAATCTGTTTTAGTCATGGAACAGCCAAGCTGCAGTTGGCACTCCAGTTATTTTTGCATCAATAATATATTCCAGTTAAAATTTATGTATTTTGTTAGTGGCTTAAGTGGACATGCACAATAGTAATATCATTGTTATATGATACCTGTACAAAATTGATGAATAATCACTGATAAAAAATATAATCCAGTTCATTGTTAAACTTTATCCACCTCTAATGAAATGACATTCTTTAAAACAAGATGGGATCCAGTGATATGAGCTTTCAAGTTGTTGCTGGCTTACTGAGTAGGTTGGTGTCATTGCATTATGCAAAACCAGGAAAAAAAATAATTTGACTAACACCCCTATAATCTGCACTAGAAATATCTGTAAGATTTGACTCCAAATTTTAAACATGGTTCACCACCGTATAGCTGCATGAAAATTTTTTTAAAAAGAGATTTGAGCATTATTTGTGTCTTGAATACATGAAGGTTTAAAGATGGTAACTAGAAGTTTTGGGAGAAAGTTCTGCATATACCACTCTGTACTGAAAATATGGGAAATAACTTACATATAATGGACTTTCTGATTAAAAGAAAACCGGAAGACAGATAAGCTATCATATATTAATGATGAGGCATTACTGAAATATTTATTGCTTTAATTTTCTTTAGCATTGAAAGTTAGTAATTTAGTTTTGTTATAATGAGAGCAGTATATGCTACTGGATGCACATTACACAGTTTAGCTCTGTGAGCTTTTCTTTCAGTTAATAGGCCATAACATTACATATAATTCATCAGCGGCTTTAGCAAGAGACAAGTTATGACTTATGAATAAGTTTCATTAAGCCGAATTATACTGCATCATTCAAAAACAGTTCTGGTAAGTGCCAATCATGTATTTCATAAAAAATAATTTGATTATTATGGTTGCTTGATCATCTTTGAAGATATATACATGGAAAAAATCTTGAACTCTGACATCTGAAGAATGAGCTGGTTCTCCTTTATATTTTATAAGCTGTAAGATATTGATGCCTTAACTAGCTGTCATCATTTTTCACTTTATTATTCTTGTCCAAGTTCTTCATTGTGTATAAGATTATTATATGCTTGAGGCATCAACTAAACATTACTCTGATAGGTGCAATGTACCCTGTGGGCATCCTCTTTATTATGATAAGGCCAGAAAACGAAAACGTGATGAATGTGCTCCTGCATACAGTATTACTTGATATTAAGAACTAGGTGAGATCTTCAACTTTGATGTGCTCTTGGTATAAAAATATTTCCCTCATGGCAAACTGTTAACTCAGAGTTACTGAAATTCTTAACAGTCAGTGTGCTATGTTACTTACTGGAACCTCTAGGAATGCAAGTAAAATTACCACAACATCTGGATGAAAATGTATTCCACAGGAAAAATAAATACAAGCTAATGTTTTAGTGGTGGTCATGAAAGATACATAGTATGGAAAACTTTTTTGGATAGGGCCTTTGTTTGTTTTGTACATATTGTCTTTACCTTTTTTGGAAAATGCAAAAACAGGAGAGGACTAGTTTTGTAATATAGTATTGATTATTGCTCTCATTGCAGGGCAATCACTTTTCCTGTATTTATTTTCATACCTCACTGCATATTGAAGTGCATGATAGCTATGTCACTGTGACTGATTTGAATACAGTACAATATTCAACATTTTATCTAATCTTCAGAAATAATGGTTACAAATTTTGTCATTTTTTGGTTTAATGAGCATAACTCACCAAATTATGTGTTGTCTAAATAAACTGCAGCATTTCTGTGTCCAGGGGGAGGTGTAGTATACCTGACTGATAAATGAAATACTATATTTTGTTTTGCGTACTTATTGTTATAAAATATTACAAAAAGGTCTTTAATGTATACATATGAAATGAAAAAAAAGTATGTTTGCTTTTTCAGCGGTGGAAATTATAAGTATCTGTACCTTTATTTGCTTCCCATATGTTATTTGCATCTAGTGACTCAGTGCTAGGACAAAATTATTTACATTAGAATATTCCAATTACTATTGTACAGAATCTCTCTGACTATTTAATTCTTTTTCAATGTGGTATTACACCATTCTGCCAATCAGGTTTCATCAAATGTGACATTTTTCATTCATCTTTTCATCCTTAAACCATAATCTTTAAACCCCTCATCTGTAGGCAAAATTAAGTATTGTAATTTATATTGAATTCAGTGCCACACTGGCATTAGATGACAATGTTAGTGGAGTAGTAATGATGTAATTGTTCATTCATTAAATGACCAACACGGTGTGATATCTAATCTTGCAAAATTATGATTAGACTTATGACTTCTTATTTTATTGCTTTTTTAATATTTTAGGGCTGATATGACTTGTGGTGTCTTGCACGGGTCACAAGCATTGGGTGCAGCTTGTTGTATATAGCAAAAGCCAAAACATCTGGTTATTAATAACTATTTAAAACCTGTAACTGAAATACTTGGTCAGTTTGATGGAATAGTCAACATTATTTTCTAATGAATTATGTGAAGAGTAATAAACTATTGAAGAATGTGTTGACTAACATTAGAAACTTTTAACATGCTTTCTGCCCTCATGTAGTGCATGTAAACAGCATTGTAAATGTAGCAGTTATGAATTTTCTCTATTTGTATAGATTTTTTTCATCTGCTGCTGTTCTTGAAGGTAGATCATGCCCCCGAGATTAATTATCAGAAGAAATGACACGTCATTTTACCATGATAAATATTGGCTACATGTATTTACCCTGAGTTTTTCCTTTTGTCATAAGACTGAAACCTTAAACTCTCATGGAAATGCTGTACTGGAGGATTATAGAGTAGGACTTGGTTGCATCCTGTATTTCAGAACTGTAATGGAATATATTGCAGCTCTTTATTATAAATATATTTAAGCCTCTGGTTGATGTTTTAATTTATACATTACTTTTGACTTTTGTATATTTACAAGACAACAGCTGTTGAATATGTGAGGGTAAATGCTGCAGCAAGGAGGAGGCTGGAGGCAGTGATGTCATGTCTAAGGGCAATGTGTTGTGTAAATATTATGCAGAGAATTTGTAGTGTGGAAATTAGGAGATGTGGAGTTACTAAAAATTATTATTCAGAGGGCTGAAGAGGGGTCGTTAAGGTGGTTTGGCTATTTAGAGGAGATGGAGCAAAATAGGATGACTTGGATGCATAAATCTGTAGTGGAGGGGAAGAAGGGTATGAGTTGTCCTAGGAAAGGATGGAGGGAGGGGGTAAAAGAGGTTTTGTGTGCAAGGGGCTTGGACATACAGCAGGTATGTGTGAGTGTGTTAGATAGGAGTGAATGGAGACGAATGGTTTTTGGGACCTGACAAGCTGTTGGAGTATGAGCAGGGTAATATTTTGTGAAAGGATTCAGGGAAACCAGTTAGCCAGACATGAGTCCTGGAAGTGGGAAGTACAATGCCTGGGGTATTGGCTGTTTGGAGTGACATCTAAACTGTTATATCAGAGAGCCTCTGCAAAGTGCTCCTTCTTTATGTTCTTAAGACAGTGATTGTGTGTAAATGATGGTGAAAGTGTTTTTTTGGGTCACCCTTGCTCGGTGGAAGACGGCCAATGTGTTAAATTTTTTTTTTTTTTTTTGTCAACCTACCTTAGTGGAAAATGGCCATTATTTAAAAAATAAATAGCTTTTTTTGCTAGATATAAATATATAAAATTGGACTTGTTTTCCTTCGAAGGAATTAAAATATTCTGCCCTTTTTGTATTTTTTAACTCTAGATACACTAATTAGCTTCTTTAAACAAACCGTCCGTATCCCAACTAGGCCCGGGTGGTCCAAATATAAAATTAAAAGTTTCTCTTTTTAAATTTAGTAATTTATACAGGAGAAGGGGTTACTAGCCCCTTGCCCCCGGCATTTTAGTTGCCTCTTAAAACATGCATGGCTTACGGAGGAAGAATTCTGTTCCACTTCCTCATGGAGATAAGAAGAAATAAACAAGAACAAGAACTAGTAAGAAAATAGAAGAAAACCCAGAGGGGCATGTGTATATATTTGGTTGTACATGCATGTGTAGTGTGACCTAAGTGTAAGTAGAAATAACAAGATGTACCTGAAATCTTGCACGTTTGAGACAGAAAAGACACTAGCAATCCTACCGTCACGTAAAACAATTACAGGCTTCTGTTTTACACTCACTTGGCAGGACAGTAGTACCTCCCTGGGTAGTTGCTGTCTACCAACCTACTACCTAACTAATTAGCTATCATTATTAAATAAAAGGTTCATGTCATTGATTTAGTTGTGTATATTTCTACATAACCCTAACTGATTTTCTTGAAATTAGTATAATACATCATACAATATGGTGGTTCTCAGATTACCAAAAATCATTTATTGCCATGATGGAATGCAATAACTAAAATAATACAGTATCACATAAACAGACTTGTTCCTAATTTCTAGAAAATCAGTTGAGGTTAAATAAAAATAGCTAGGAATTAACTGCTATATATTGTCCATGCATACAGTATATGTTTCACATAAATGAAAAAAGTTAATACCATATTTGGTTACACCACATCTCTCTTCTCACACGTGTACACACAAACACTGGAATGCCTACAGTGTTTCTTTTGGACTGCTTTAAATTGTAATTTATTTGATTTTGTGTAGAATTACTGACTTTGGTCAATTTATAGGATGGTTCTGATAGATGGATAAGCAGCTTCTTATGCTCACTTGATAGAATGGAAGGAATACTAGGAAATTAACCAGGACTTGGGTTGGTTTGAGCAATGGAATTGGCCTAAAAATGGCCAAAATCACCATTGTGTAAATTGCATCCAGACTGTCAATTTGCAAATGCGTAATTTCATTAGTTTTCCATCAAATTTGTCATTTTTGGTGTCATTACTTTCAGAAAAAAAAATTATCATTTTGAGAAGATAAAATTATTTTCTTTTTGAAAAATTGCAACACAGATGGAAGTTAAAGACAGATGAGTCATGGAGATATCAGCAAGTATTTATACATCAGAGTGGTCAGGAATTGGGATAATGGTTTTAAGAGCAGGTATGGTAGGGCCCATGAGACAAAGAGGGAGTGTAAGAAAGGGAAAAAATACAAGGAAAAGGATAGACAAGAACAGAGTGAGCAGACTGGCCAGAAACAATTATGCTAGTTTGAATTGAGGAACAGTTTGAGAATGGCAGTAGCAAAGGCAAAGTCTGAACCAAAATTACTTCAAAGCCACATCAGAAGAAAGACAACAGTGAAGGATCAGGTAATTTAACTTGAGAAAGGAAGGAGGAGAGCTCATGAACATCAGCAAGGAAACCTGAAGTGTTGAGAAAACAGTTTGAAGTTGTCTTTTCAGTAGCAACTGGGGCAATACCAGAGAGACTAAGGAACAGCAGGCACTGACAAGTACTGGATGTCTTCCAAACAATGAGAAGAGATAAAGAAATTTTTGATGGGTACATCAAAAGGCAATGGGACCTGTCACCATGAATTCTGTGAGAGGGTGCAAAAGCAGTCTAAATCACTAGCTATGGTCTATGATTATAATTATAATATGGTCTATAATAAGTCAGAGGTTTGGAAGACACAGACAGGAGGCATTAAACTACAGACCAGCTTCTCTGACATGCATGCCTTGCATAGTAATGGAGAATCTTATCAGAAGAGTGGTAGAACACTTAGAGAAGTGATTTCATAAACAGTAACCAGCATAAGTTTAAGGATGGCAGTTTTATCTTGTTAACTTGAAGTTCTACGACAAAGTAACATGTGAAACGAGAGAGAGAGAGGGGCAGATTCCATTTTTTATTTTTAGACTTCAGGAAGGTATTACTGCACTCACAAGAGGCTGGGCCAAAATCCTAGGGTTTAGGCGGGAGTGACAAGAAACATACTTAGTGGTTCAAAAGAGTATCTTAGGGAAAGGAAGCAAAGAGTGACCGTCAGGAAAAAGACAACAGAATGGAGAAGAGTAGCTGGCAGGGTTCTGCAAGGATTGGTATGAAGACAAATGCTGTTTCTGATTTGTGTGAATTACCTTCCAAATGGGGGTTGATTCAGATATATCCCTGTTTGTTCATGATGTAAAACTAATGAGAATAAAAACATGAGGACAAGGAAAGGCTCCAAAGGGATCCAGATAAATTGCAAGAGTAGTCAGATAAATGGTTGCTTGAATTTAACTATAGTAAATACAAGGTCATAAAGATTGGGGGAGCAAGAAGACTGGAAATGGTATAGACTAGGGGAAGAGAGGCTGCAGACTTCACTTAAAGAGAGATAACTAGGGTTGAGAGTAATGCCCAGTATAACGTCAGTAGCTCACATCAGCTGAGTAACCTCCACAGCCAATGCTCATCTGGCATATGTAAGAGTAGTCTTCAGGAATATCAACAGTCATTCTGGGCTTTTTGTACAATATGTGTTAGGCCCATCTTGCAGTATGCACCATCAGTATGGAATGTACACCTGCAAAAAAAACATGTTAAAGAAACTGGAGAACATGCTGAAGCATGCAACAAGCTGTGTTCCTGAACTAAAGGGCATGAGCTATGATGGGAGGTTAATAAAATTAAACCTAACTTTAGAGGACAAGAACCAGTGGAGGACACGATAACATACAAAATACTCAGGAAAAAGCTATTTGAGAGGTGAGAAAATGAGAATTCTGGGAAGCCCCCTGGATGATAGCCACAGATGAATCACACTGATGTTAGGAAGTGCATATTTCTTCACTATCAGCAGCATGGTCTGGAAGTGGAATGATTTTCGTGAGGAAATGATGGAGGTAGGCTCTACGATAGGACCCACAAGGCTGAGAGGGACTGATCTGGAGAGAGTGGAAAATTAAAGAGGTAGGGTCAGGATCCGAGAATTGACTCCTGCATCCACAAACAGATGGGTATAAATAGGTGAGTACACACATACTGACCCCTGCTATAATAACCACAACTTTACCTTCCACACTAGTGGCCCTGGCATGCACTTATATACTACTATCCCTGTCATATCAATGACCCTGGCTTACACTCTGTCTCACTGCAACCCTTCCTTCCATACATCCAGGTAACTGCTACCCCTTACAAAAATCTTTCTGAAACGTTTTGCCACACATTGGCTTCATCAGCCCAGTACAAAGCAGAAAGGTGTAAGGAGTGGAGGAGTTTGAGATAATCAGTCCCTCAGCTGATTGAGGGACTGATTACCTCAAACTCCTCTACTTCTTACACCTTTCTGCTTTGTATTGGATTGATGAAGCCACTGTGTGGTGAAACATTTCTTCAGTAAAGATTCCCATATGTTGCATAAGTGTCTCAATCTTCAACTTGTCGGTTTTCAAAACTATTTATCACAAAAATCTTTGTTTCTACTGCATCCTGGGCATGCAGTTACCATCACTACACCCTTCCCACTTTTACATGCATAATCAAACTTTTTATTGTGCAAACAAGATGACAAATGCAAAACCTGTTAAAAGGCCTGCAAGCTCTGATTTATCTGCAAGCATTTCATCATCAGATACACCCATGGCTAGGTTGTCTGATAAGTCATTTTCTGGGGGGAGACATATTTATCAATACAGTGGAACCTCAAGTTTTGGCCATTTTGAGTTTCGGTCAATTTTTTCGCCTAAATTTTGTCAAGTTTCGAGCAGTACCTTGTTTTGGCCACGCTCACACAAAGCATCCCACGCGCGCATTGTGAGTCAGTCTGGCTTTGTTTCTCCTCGAGTGAACATTACCCTGTGCGTTCATCCAAACATTTCACAATAATTCATTTTTTTTTGTGCTTGTTGATCGAGTGCGACTGCTGCATAATTAACCATGGGCCCCAAAAAACTTCCTAGTGCCAGCCCTTTGGTAAAGAAAGTGAGAAACACGATAGAATTATAGTTATGTAAAT